AACTCGCTAACGAAATACTTAGAGTACATGTGAAATATTCGATTCTCGTCTTATGCATCTGTAACATGTAATTCTATTTTGTGTCGATCATAAGCGATCTTAATGATTTTTCTATGCTTTTGAAAATCCTGTACTCAAGTGTCGTGGAAAATGACAAAAGATTTTTTAAAATTTATTTATTTATGGTCGCTTTATAACATCTAGATCAGCGACCCCTGTCATTGTACAATTGTATGTATAAACATAAAGGTTACAATTATTACACGAACCGAATTGTTACATTTAATCACATTTTACACATTATGTATGGTTTAATCTATTACATTAATTAGCTTTATAAGGTTATACATTTTTGTAGTTGTTAACAATTTTATTATTTTGACACACCCGTCTGTGAAACTGAGTAGTGGTTGTAGGATTCCTTCAATTTTTAGAGATTTTCTTATATCATTTGTACTAGTGCATTGAGGAATAATGTGGGAGGTCGAGACAAACTATTGTTTTAATGAACATGAGGTATAATTCATCTAAAATCTGCAATAAAGCAGAAGCAACGTTTATGTGTAAATATTGCTTACAATAAAAAAATCATTGGAATTAGCACATGTACACAGTTCTTTTTAACTCGATTTCTTCCCTACGATGCGTTCCCCCTTCATGCGTAACAACTATTTATAGTTAAAATGACGGGAAGGGATTCTGGAACTCAAGAAAACGCGCGCAGATTATCTTCTCCCCCATACGTCACATACAGCTTTTACTGTTCTTTTTAAAATAAATATAATAATACAAATAATACAAAAACACAATTGGAGAATAAATTTTACACGGAATAGCCTTTCCTTGTTGAATAGAGGAGAGCTTGTGTAGGTTATAAAATGTGGGTTAAGTAATTCATAAACTGATTAAAGAATTATAATTTACATATCTAATGGAGTTGTTTTAATACAGTTATCTTGGTTTCGAGCTGAATGTCATTTTTAGCTTGATTTCGAGCTGAATAGAGTTATCTGAATGTCGAGGAGAAGTAAAAATTGTTAGTTCAAATGAAGAATCTGTATATGAATTCTGCATTAATTTGTATACTCGTGTTAGTGTATAATCAATTATTTCACTTAAAAGATTGGTAACGATAAGCGACAGAAGAAAAACGGGCCAGCCTTAGAATTCACGCTTGTAGTACTTTCACGATCGTCCAACCTCTTCCTCGACTTCCCGCATGCTTCGCAACGCAGAAAATCCGTTAAAGATCTCGTGGGCCGTGCCACCACGGTCCCCACCCCCCGTCCCCGCTGAAGGCGTCGAGGCAAGGAGACAGAGAGCGAGGTGATGAGGATAATTCGCCCTGCTAATTAGATAGCGAGCGCGCGGGCGGCGGAAAAGCGATGGGAGGAGATGGGCCGAGGTTGCATGACACAAAAACCTCGTGGGATTCCAGTGCAGAGGTTGAAGTTTTGCGAGATTCGCAGAGGACCAGAAACAGCATCAGTCACACAATTAGATGGCTGCGTGATGCGAACGTAATAGAATCGGCGAATAATAATTTTATGAGTGAAACATTTTACTGACGTTCGTGTCTTTGCTCATCCAATAAACAATGCACACCGTTAGAAACCCACTTTTAAAATTATGTCGTTAAATTTGTATTACAATGTTATGAACTACAATATCTATTAATTGAGGAGGTAGCTACAAGAAGGGTTATACTCCAAAACTGTGTTTTGAGAAAAACGCATTGCAAGTTTCCGATCATAGTATTCTACACACTGGTATATTTAATTACAAATTACGTGTTATTTAAATGTAATATAATTATTTTTAAACTTACCTACATTTAAAACGTAATTAAATTCTCCTTAATTTCAAACATGTGGTATAAAGAAAAAAATGCGTTATAGACCGTTCTTCTGGAAAACACTTTATATTTATTATTGAAATGGAGTAAATTATAAATATTATTAATTTTGAATTTTCTTTTATTTATAAACTGCCAATATAAATCGTAATGTGGTATGGTACCTATTTTTTACCTCACAGTTTATCTTGTGAGCTATCAGATTCTGACTCACTTTTGTCAACGTTTCCCGTGGATACTTCTTGAGGAGTACTCTTCAAAAGGTTTTCGTAACATTTTATGTTTTCTTCCTTAGAATACCCACGTACGTCCCGTATATCAGTAACTTTTGCCAGGTTAAGTGGATTTCGAATGACAGATTAAAGTGCAATATTCTGGGGAACTCTCTTCATATAACGGAATGTTGCTCTAACAACCTAACAAATAAAGATAAAAACAAGAAAATTTGCTTGGATAAAGATTAAAGTAGGCAGAATTCATTTCTGTATTCAACAGAAAAGTGTCCCGTTCTATGGGCCGCTCTTCAAGCTACCACATCAATTATAGACAATCAATTCCAAATGTTTTATTAAATTACACTTTCTCCAACGGATGTGTTTGCTTCGTCAGAGGCAAAACTTATCATACTTCACTATAATATTAACATTAAGAATTTTTTATTTGCCATTTAATTAACCATTTTATTTGGAATTGATTGTTCATAATCAACAGGTATTTTAATTCATAACATTTAACATATGGTCACAAATATAACATAATTCTATTGCTATGTTATAATCGAATACCCTCTTAAACTAACTTCAAAATTCTGCCTCACTGACACTACACATACGTCACGTGGTTCCAGAGTGCTTGTTGGTCGCGTCTATTGACGCCTACGCAATTTTACACCCATCTTCTTGTATTACGGGCGGTATCGAAGGCGATGTGATCGTGGAAGGGGGACTCTCTCTCTCCCTCTCTCCCTCTCTCCCTCTCTCCCTCCCTCCCTCTCTCTCTGCCCATCCTGCGCGTGTTTCCTTTGCGTGCTTCCCGAAGCGGAAAACGCGCCGGCCATGACTCTGCATACATAAAATCGATCATCCGTATCGCTGGGCCTGGGCGCGGACGAACAATCTGTGTAAATCTGCGGCGGAGCGATTTCTATTGTAGCCCGCAGGGCGCCCGGGCGATCTCGATTGCTACGCCGCTCGCGTTGGCGCTCGTTCTCCTGACGAAATGGCGCGGCAGTTGAGGCTGGTAATGACGTTTTTGCGACGATGATAGGACCAATACGGTGTTTAGTAAACTTTCACGTTCGAGGTTTAGGTTTCTGCTTTGTTATTTTGCAGTATGTCGCCGCCTCGTGCGTTTGTGAAGCGGAAGGTGATAGAAACTGATTTCACTTAGTAACTGATACTCGATTTATTATTTTGAAAGTCGGAACCCATTTTTAAACCAGTATGAGGTTTAGAATTAACATTCTACTTTAGTAGGCTTCTAAGTAAACACATTTTTGTAAAACTGATACATATTTTGAATATAATTATATAATACATAGTTTTTGGTGCGATTTTGGGTTATAATCTGTGATGTAACATCAATTCCTTCAAAGAAAATGTTGAAACTTGTGTTTCTCAACCTAGAGGCTGTGCTGAAATGATAACCACTTTGAAGAATGTATAATGTGTTTGGAAATGTAACTGGGATATCTCATAACACAGTCTGTATTCTTTCGTACAAATTACATTTTAATTTAATATTATATTCTTTAAATATATCAACCCGTGCACTGTTTGATACTATCATCCGAAAAATAGAAACATCACCTTCTAAATATCTTAAGTTTAAAACTTTCATTTTGTGTTCTCGTTGTATTCTGAAAATACTTCAATGATATATTCCAAAGCTTAAGGAATAAAATTAATATAAATTAATACATTTATTTCATTTCATGAATACAATGAAAGTTCTATCTTCCCTAGTCTCTGACATATCTCTCATATTTTAAATTTTTGGTTTTTTTGCAAAGAGATTTACATCAAACACGCGATGTAGTAATGGACATTCAAAACAGTTATATTTTTCATGGGCCCAACAAAGTAGGAAAAAGAACAATGCTTACCTAATCAAATAGGTTAAATCACTAAACATTTACGTGGCAATCCTGTAAATATTAAATTGTGATAATTATAGTGAATTGATTCAAATAGAAAACTTTAATTTATTTTTACCATGAGCAGATCTAAAAGAATACACATATCTTGATAACAGAACCTAAAAAGAACGTACAGAATGAGTAATTCTCTTATAATTCTCTTCCACAGTCTATCGTTTGTTTCGCCACAACGCTGGTACCGTGAATTCCACGTGCTTTTAATAGGCAAGTGATATGTTTTTTTAAAACCTACTTCGGCAGCCATAGTCTGTCCACACCGTATTACGAGCATCGTTGCCTGCGTCGGCTCCGACAGGAACGTCTTCCCGGAGGCATCCTTCCGGGAAGGAAGGCGTTTCCTAAATCCGGGCGCCGCGCCACCTGGAACCCCGCCCCCGCCGGGCCGCCTCTCATTTTGCGCAAGGCGTGTTGACTGGAGCCTTGGGGAACTCCGGGGAGGTCTTCTGCGGGTGTTAGCACGGCGGCGTCGGAGCTTACGCCAGTAAGTCTTCGGCACACACACTGCGTCGGCTGAGTGCAGCGGGTGTCGCCGTCGTACATCTCGCCGGTAAGGCATCGAGTTGGTCTCCAGACCGCGTTGCCGCGCCACCGGCGGCCCCTAGCTTTTATTTATTCATGGCGTTGGACGCCGCGGGGGCGGGGACGGGTCGCTTAAATTTAATTTCAGCGTTACGACTCCGCGGAGAATTCATATCAAACCGCCACGTCGGGCGCGCGAACTTCGCTCGCTAAATGAAGCTAAATACGTGTTATAAGTCTCCGGCGAGACTTTTTCTCTCTGGGTGACGCGAGGAAGTTTAATGGTGGCATCCATCTTGTCGAGCGTTGTGTGTTCTTTCTGGGGCGACGTGTACTCGGATTAGAGGGTAATGACAATGAATAACTGCGAGTTCACTCTTACTTTTTTTATTTTTATGTGTGCAGCCTTCTGACGTGTGATTTCATTCGACATTTTTCTCATTCGTTGTTCGTATCTTTCTGTTTCAGAACGCGTGCGTGTATGTTCGGCTTCCGGAATGGTTCAGGTTCCTCTTCGTGCCCTGTGAACAAATGTTACCAAATATTCGCTCATTGAAAGCACAATAAGAACGAAAGCGAGTGAGAACGTTTGTGAAAGGTGATGCGTATTCGGCTGCCTTTCTGCGACTTTGGTGCGTCGAAATCCTGACGGAGAAGTATCTCGGAGAAACTGAGGGTTTTGAACGTTGTGGTGTTTGTCGACCTGCAAGATGGCGGCTACTTCAATGCGTATTCCCGGGAAACACCAGACCCCACTGAAGACTCTCAACAGAGGGAACAACTTCCTTCGCTCCCACCGGACAGCTAATACAGGTGAGTGTTACTACGCCTTTCATTTTTTTGTCTAAGCGAGGTTTTCCAGCATAAATTAAATTAATACCCATCAGCAGTCTAATCTCTCACTATAATATGAAAAGAGAAAAATTACTGAAATTTACAATTGGCATATTCTAAATTACTCGGTTAACCAAAGATGTTTTAGTTTTATGAAATAATTAAAACCATACTTAGTCGGAAAAACTACCATTCGTATGGACATAGTGTTGTGACGTCAGTGTTTTCGTTGCTTAAGTGCTATTATGTTTTATATCTCTGTATATTCGGTAAAGTAAATCTCTCGGCATGGCAATGATAGTTAATCAGCTCCCTTTTGATCCTTGAAGACTCGCATGTAATAGCTGAGTGGACAAAATGAAGCACCTGTTATACTCTCTTAGAAACAGCAAACATTAGGAGGTTACGAAAGCGAGAAGCCATTGAAAGCGTTGTGCGGCTTCCTATGCGAATCTTTGGAAAGTTGTTAATAGAAAATCCTATTAACATGAAACCGACAACATGCTGACGCACGATCATTCTTTCATCTACTGACTATTATTCAGAGCTACATCATGTGCAACACAGATGCATGTGTGATCCACTACTATTCGAGTAAATTTCAGGATGATTATTCCCCAACATTGAGCTGTGATTGCTTCATGTATGCGTATTCAGTGCGCAATGCTTTTGTAATAAACGAAAAGCTCTCGCAATATCGGTCCCAATTTTTGGTTCCCGTGATGAAAGGAAGCGTAAAAAAGAAATTAACGAATCTGAGGGAATCCGTCACAGCCGGTTGCGCCCAATAAAACCGTCAACGTCACCCTGTTCCGCGCACCTGCATTTGTTTCCATTACGCCACAATTAACCGGCAATGGAAAGGCGACGGGGAAGGAGGGGGGCGTGAATGTGGGGCGTCGATTCGCGTCGCGACGCCTGATGGATGGACGTCTGTTGTTCTGGAAGCGGTGCGTCGACGCGTCGACGAAGACGGATGGCGGCGCCGGCATGGCGCCGCGAGCGACGCGCGGGTGGAGGAGGGGTGGGGGGCGAATGGAAAGGGGGAGGAGAGGGATGGCGAGGGCGAGGGGCGGGGGGCGCACGATGGGCCAAAATGGCTCCGGGAACGCGAGATGGATATTGATCCAATCAACTCAAAATCACTGAGAACCAATCGTAAAGTTTTGAATTATTAATTTTATTAGGAAAAATGTCTTTCGTATGGAAGAACTCGCTAACATCATACGGCTTACATACTTTATTTATGTCCAGTTTTTGCTACCTCAGAAATTTTCTATTAATCACATGTTTTATTTCTGGTAATTTATCAGGACGTCGGTAATTAGAGAAGTTTGTTCGCAGGGATAGACATTTTCTCCGAGGTGGAAGAAACAGCAGAAAACATAAAATATCCAATTTGAGTAAATAAAAATTAGTCAAAATGAAATGGATGCCATTTCACTACCATTTATGATATATTTATTTTTGTCTTCAGAGATGTTCCAGGGTCACTCGTGGAACGAATGTAGTCTTTGCAAAATATTTCTTTCCTTTTTTGCAAATTTCGCGTCCTCGACCATATAACGACATATAGCAAAGAATACAAGCATGTCCGTTAGGGGTGTTGTCTTGTCTTGGTCTTCTAAATATTGCATAAGGGTTGCAATTAAATGCAATTGAAGGATATTATTGAACCACTTAAATTGAGTACTTTTAAAATGATTCAGAATTTATGAATTTCTGTAATATAATTTAAATTTTAAGGAACCGTGCTGTAACAATTCTGCGGCGATTGTGCCATTTAGGCCGCTTCGGGCCAGTGCGCGACCAGTGCGCCAGATGGAGACGTTGGAGGGGAGAATTGCGGCTGGGGTGGGGGTGGGAGGGGGGTGCAACGGCGTCACGAGCGAGGCGCCGCCCCGGTGACGGCCAGCCATTGCATGTAGGATCAATTGAAACGGCGCCGCCCGCCCCGCCGCGGCGGCGGCGGCGTTGCGAACCGATGCGGCGCTGCAGGCGGATGTGGCCGGGGTGCGAGCCAGACCGTGCAAGGGAGATACACACGGGGAATCTCAGATTAACGGTATTACTTGACCGTACACTCAGTGCTGCTGGCAGCGTTCTCAGGGACATGCAGGTGTTGTATGGGTTAATTGAATGAACACCTTAAAAGTGGGATAATAGTTTAAAACGTGGGCGTGACTTGTTGGTCGGATACTTGTGGTTCAAACAATGTCCAACGTAAACTGACACGATTCACGAAAATATGAGACAGTCATTTCCGACGCGAGGAAAATATAAAAAAAGCCGGTGTACAAATGTCTGCAGTTGAGAGAATGTTACCATTGATTAAAAATCATCATGAATTCAATCATGTTGAAATGTAAAAATTCATCTTAAATAATAAACAAAACGTTAACAAATCGATATTGCAAGTCATAAGAGGTGTAAAATCCAAAATTGTAATTTTCGTAAGTAAGTAAAAACAAATACCTCTCGCCGGAGATGTATAAAGAAATATTAATCAACAAGTAAAAATCCGCAAATTTGCTAAGATTGTAAATCACAGGAGATAAATACTCATTTGCATTGACTTCCACGATATGCAACTCCCAATTTTCAAACACGTGGAAATTCACTTCATGACCGGGTGGCTAAACCCGCGCGAACGCTCCTTCGGCGAAGTGGCCTCGTCCCCTGTTGGCGCCGCGCGGGGGATCAAAGGCGACTGGGCGAGGGGGCGGGACTGAGCGACCGCGGCGCGTGTATCTGATGCGCGCGCGCGCGTGATGTATGGCCGCGACGCCCTGCCCGCCGCTTCCCCTTCCGCCGCCCCCGCCTGCGCTCCCGCCTCCGCCTCCACCTCCGCCCCCTCCGCACCGCATGAGATTAGCTCAGAGCAAGCATTGTCCCTGTCTCTGCAGCGGCTCTGGCCGAGAGGTCCTTGGGTTCGAGTCCAGCGGAGGCGGGTTTTCGTTGCTAGCTGTTGAGTTGGGTGGAATTCAGCCGCTCTCTACTAGATAATTCTAGCGGATGGCCGCTCTGATTGGTAGTTTTACCAGGTTAATGCCGGGGCAGTACCCTTACAGACGGGCTACGGACTCTAACTTTTCTTGCTCACCCTATCAACTTCCCTTACATGCCCTACACTACTAAGTGTCGGAAACTTACAGTTTATCCCGCCTAGGGCGCTGTCCAGCTAGGGGAGATGCATAGAGGGGGACATCCCCTGCAATCTGACGTGTGTAGTACGATTTATTTAGTCGTGTACTTGACGTAAATCAGTTGTGGCTAATCGGTTAAAATACACAATTAAATAAATCCTAGTATATGTCGATACCGGATCTCACTGTCGAGCAACTGGAATAATCGCCACCGCCCGAAATAAAAGTTCATTACACTACCAGGACTAATGACTATAGCGGTTGACGTACACGGGAACATCAGTCAATCCGACTACGTTGCGACATTGCGTTTTGCATCTGCTCCCGCGCAAAGGCGCTCTTCAGTTATTTGGAAGGTGGTGGTTAATTGACGGCAGAAGAAAACAAGGCGACTTTCAAACAGTTCACATGCAACTTGTGATTCCGAAGTTATTAATATATATACGTAATCAACTATTTATAGTTTATTTATTTGTGTTCGGGTGGGTATTTTTCACCATTCTGATGCAACGTGGCAAATCCTACTCCTAGTATACCATCTGAACACCTTTACATCCAAACCCAGTCATGTAACATCACCCCTTAATCCCAAAGAGTATCCTATCATGCCAAAGAGAGGAAGGCAAAAGTAACCCATCACTGTCATCACCTGTCCAGGAAACGGGAGAAAATAAAACTGTGCGCCTCTCTCTCGCTTACATCCACAAATGAACAAGGTACTGAAATCTATTCGATTAGTTTATTTGCTTAATTGGGGAATATATTCAGGTATATTTCGGGCAATTCCTTAGTGAAGTAAACTAGTCCACCACACGTCGCATATTTATTTTATTTTTCTACAATTTTATGACCGCAGGTGTGTGTAAATCAACAGCCACGTCCATAGTTTTGAGTAGATATCAAATTACGTTTTTCAGTGGAATACTCCAATTCGACGTATGTCTCGCTTAATTACGTGAATTATTCTCAACTGATTGCAGTTTTCGTGGAGTTGACCGAATATTATTCTCGGGGGAAGACAGATATATCGCTCTCCACGGTCTGGGCTTGGAATGGCAATGTCAATTACGGGAGAGTTCCTTTCGAGAGCGCAATTCAAAGCCCGCCTTGGGAGACACTCGACGTTGCGGAGGCATTGTTCGCATAGCACGCGGCCAGCGCGTCGTTGTTCGCATGCCTAAGGCTATTGGCGTTCTATTACCCAGACCGGAAGGTCAACAGTTCTGCTAGGGGCGCATTCAGCTGTTTCAGCATGCAATTCATGTAATCGAGATGATGTCTCATCAAGGGGATCTCATTGTGCAATTATTTAACATGATTGCAGAGCCGAAGAACCGCATAAATTTCAGATGAGTAGCACCATGGGTTGGGGATCATGTTAATTTTTTATTGTATCTAAGTTTTTAGTAAAAAACGTGATGACGGTATGCAATATGTAGTTTATTCAAAATTTTTAATTAATAATTTAGATAAACTCATTAATAATTTATTTCTATATTTTTTACTTACCAGAAATAGAAGGGATCACTTCTACATTCGGTTTTTAAACTTTTCGGGTTTTTATCAGCATTTATCGAGGTTAAGTCCGATGTACTCGCAGGCTGCAACGTTCTCCTCATTCGCGCTTGACTGAAAGATTCATCAGTTTTGTCATTTCCTCATTTACCTCGGAACTCTCGAATAATAAACCAATTCATTATCAGCTCTTTTGGACACAATGGGACACAGTCAGCTCGCCATAAACATATTGCGCGAGGTCACAACTGCGTATCGCACGCGAAGTTTGAGAAATATATTTGGTCGATTTGGAAAATAATTGTTCCACCAGTTTGATAATGGCAATGAATGTGTTAAATTGAATTTTTCCCCAATTTTTGTCAAAATTCCAGGTGGGCAGTTACCCACCTGGAATATTTCCACGTGGCTAGTATTACCTCTTTCGTTGGTCGTGCATGAAGGCTCATTATGTATGCACATTCACTTTCCTAATACAACTTTCTTTAGCTTCACATATCGATTTGTAGCAAGTTTATTCTGGATAAGGTTTTGTTTGGCTGTGAGAAAATTTACAGGATTTTTAATTACAGGGAATTTATGTGTAGAAGAGTGAAAAGAGTGTATTTAATATCAAATATGTAGTTTATATTTACTCTTTCACATATATAAACTGTATAGAATGTAACTGGATATTTCGTGTAATAATGGAATGACTCGTTCGTTCCATTATTGGAATTAGTAAATACAAACAGGGTCGCCCGTCTGCTGCTTCTGACAATTGTCAAACAGCATAATATTCGTAAATGCTGCGTTTTCCAAAACGGTCGTTTTGAAGAGAAAGCCCTAAATACCCGCACTTCCGTCGGCCGCAGTGAAAGCGCAACCTCAGTCGCTGTTGCAGGGGAGGGGACGGGAAGCAGGTACGGGTCAGGAGGGGTTGACGTTCCAGTGGAAAGTTTGAAGTGGGTGGTGGCGTTGGGCAGTGCAGTTAGGAACGTGTAGGGACCGCTGTGAAAAGGACAAATTGAGAAGGAAGGGTGTGGGACCGATGAGAGTGGACCGTGATCGAAAGAGGAGCAAAGACTACAAGAGGGGGTGTCGAGAAAGGCAGATCTTGTAGGAGACCGATATAAAATTGAAGGAAAGAGTTGCAACTAGTAAAGAAGTGTACGTAGTGACGGTTCAAATGGTGTGAGTTAGGATAAGGACCGAGGCGGTAAAGGGAGAGTGGAATAACAGTGGAGGACAACAGGCCAAGAAAACGTGGTTTGTTCTGTAGGAGAGGCTGGGAGAAGTGAGTGTAAACGTTGGATAAATGTCACTGTAGTCCCTCTGACTGAGAGATCGTAGGTTTGGGTCCCGACGGTGGCAGGATTTTCGTCACTAGCTTGACAGCAAGGTCGAATTCTAGTGCCTGTTTGGAGGAGAATTCTAGCGCCCCTAGGATGGCGGATCAGTACCCTAACAAATGGGTCACGAACCACGTACGATATTACCTTCCTCTTCCGTAGCTTAGAGCTTGTTCCAGCTGTGGTGATGCCCCCCTGGGGAGCGATATCTGTTTGGGGGAAATTCCGTTAGCCGAGAATAGGTGGGCACCGGATCTCGCCATACAGCGAGAGAACAATAATAGCCATCTCTCGAGCGAAAATGCACCACACTTACGGGACTAATGATCCTGGAAGTTGACGTGCCCGGAATCACTAAAACAATCAATCAATTGGGTAAGAGTTAATTGGAACCCGAGGTACTGATGCACGAGATGGTTCGGGACGCTGCGGAGCGGTGAAATGTGTGGTGCGGCGTTGCAGTGAATGGTGACTGTTGCAGAGCTTGATGGAACAGGGAAAATAATTAATCATGACTTGAAAACGAGATGGAACAGGGTGCGTTAGTGCTACCGCGGTGTGGGGGAAGTCGCGTAGGAATTGTGGTGCGTGGTGGGCCGAGGCGGAATTATTATGCAAGGCGAAGGTGCAAGTCTGACCGAGTGATGGCTTGTGTGGCATGTCAGGAGACGTGCATATTACGACCAACACAAACCAAGCAGTCAAACAAGTTTTTATTAAGGATTCACAACATACAGAGAATACCATAAACAAGCGTTGTCACAAAAACTGCCAGGAGATAGGCCGGTGACCAAGTCAACCAAAACGGAAGAGATGTCCAATAACTTTGTCGTGGTCGCGATCCAAAAGCCTGAAGAAATGTCTTTACACTCGCAGGCGGCGGCGTCACTCAATATGACATTCACTAACACTCCTCGTTGTCCGCACTATTGCCGGGGATGACTCGAACTGATCTCCGCCTGCTGGGTGCCCTTTTGTACACAGTCCGGGCTAAAAGCTCGCCGACCGGCCCGACCGTAAGGGCTATGGCGCGCCCGGTCACGCCGACTGAAGCGTGACGGTAGCGCTGACCCCCAAGTATGCCACCTCTCGTGAGCGGTGCCCGTATTTTCCGGAGGCGACGCCGTCTCGCTGCTGCGTCCCTGTGGCGGTTCTTTTATAGGAACACTGGCGACCACAACAGTACGTAAGATGGCGCTCGATGGTGAGGTGAGGGGGGGGGGCTGGAGGAAGGGTGGTGTGGGGGTGGAGGTATTCTGCGGGATGGGTGGAATGGAAGGGGATGGAATGGCGGTGGGAGGGCTGAACGCACTCGTTCGGTCGGACCGGGCTGCGCGTTGTCATGGCGATGTACGCACGTGCCTATCGATTGAGCGACGCGGCTCGGTCCGAGGTTTGACTTCGGCGCTGGTGGTTGGTTGTCGCGGGTGGATTTTACTGCTCGGTCTTCCAATATGCGCCCGCGACGAATTAAAACTATGAGAAATGTGCGCAATAGAACGTTCCCACGTTTTAATGTTTTTTTCAACAATTATACAGATTTTTTTGCATAATGCATGACATCACATAAAATTCTCAAAATTCGTTTCGTAAAATTTTCAGTAGCAACGATGCACACACAAAATTAGATATGTGTAGAAACGTTAGAAAAAGTATACAAATATACATATTCTATATGGAAGATAGAGAAACGCCAAAATATTGTTTCACGTAGTTCATGATTATTTAAAAAAAATTAACGATATTAAGGAGGTTTACAAATACTGGAACACTGCACTGTGAACGAGAATACGACAATTATCCCTTTTCGTTACCAGGACCCGATAATAAACGGCGATTTTTTGCTATTATACTGCGCCCTATACTGCGTACTTTATCTTCTTACGAAGGAAGGCGATAAAGAAAAAGTGGATAAACCTTTTTCATATATACAGTAGATTACTTCCTCTGACACGTTGTGATGCCAGACTCCACGTTTTATGGGTCGTTGATACTGAAATATTGATTCACGCCAAAATGTCCTTCTGCCCGTCTGTTCTTCCAACTGACTGTGGTCAACGCTATCACTTAAACAGTTCAGACGGTTTTCTGAAATATTGATATTCTCCGATCGACCTAAACGAACACGAGGCCCTGCGAATTTCCGATGGATAATTTGATATTAGGGGGGACTTCACATGAAGACTCAATTATATTTTCAAAATTTTCTCAAAAATGGCTCCAAATTCGTTGATGAAACTTTGTTCTTGAAAAGCATAAAGTACGCTTGATATTGACGCAGATCTCATGGTTGAAATCCCTGATTTTTGAAAAATTGCAAAAGGTAAAATTTTTGCGGCGTCTTTCTGCAAATGTAATATTTAAGTTATTGATTTATTTCTTAAATTAAATCAGATATTCAAAGACATCTTGAAATAAGTTAATGTACAATTTTTTGAAAATATGAGTAATATTTACATAATTGTGCAATTTTAAACAATTATTTTCTCAAAAGAGGCTCCACATTATTTCTTAAAATTCTCCTCGCCTAATAAAGAGCGGACAAAACATTCGTGTTAGACTCATTTTCGGCCAACTGTCTGTGTTTTCGAAAATTGCAAGAATTATATTTACTAAAGATGAAGATTAATTTCTTAAATAAAATGTTTTATAAAAAAGCTTTTTTAAATTGTCATGTACATTTTTTAGAAATAGATTAGAGGAAAAAGGTTTTGCGTAATTTCTGCTTCAAGTTATTATGCAATTTGTTTTAAAATCAAAAACGAGGCTTGTAATTATTTTTCGTAATAGAGTAAAGCACAATAAAGAAAACGCAGGGCTAAATTTCTTTGAACTTCCCGATTTTTTGAGTAGTAAGAAAAGTAAGAGATGATGCGAGAAAGTACGTGCTGTTGCAGCCCCGTAAGTTCACTAAACGATGGTACGCGAGAAACGCCACTTCGTGCCGCGCGTATTATTACGTCGTCTCCTGTGGGCCGATCGCCGATGGCGCAGTGTAGACTCCGCCGGCCGCGCACTGCATCGGGGCGTCGATTGCTCTCTCAGGTAGTTAGAGCGGAGATTACACTGCGGCCCCCGAAATCCCGCTCGGAAATGGCGCGCCCCTCGGATGGCGGCTGTTTACGTGACGAACGGCTGATTGCGTTGGATACGCAGTAATTGCAACTGCATTACGAATTGATCGCGCAATGCCGCGAGTGAATGCGTAGGTCAGAAAATGCATTGGCTGCGTCGGATGCGTGCCTAATACGATTTAGTATTTACTAGGCTGTCCGGGTGACGCCGCGTCCACGGCGAAGGTGCCGACGTTTCGGTCGCCATTCTGCGACCTTCCTCAGGGTGTAATGCCCTGAGGATGAAAATCGTCATGTGACCTATCGTGAG